TATATATTTTTTTGAAAAGTACATAAAAAAACGAACAATTAATAAAATAAGTTTATTATCACAATTTTCTAAAAAATTTGTAAAATTTTTTTTTTTTATATTTTAAAATTGTAAAAATTAACTTTTTTTTTTCTTAATTGTTCATTTTTTTATGTATTAAAAAAAATATATCGATAAAATCGAATGGATATTTTGTTTAAAAAAATTAAAATTAAAATGGTGGACCACTTGTAAATAATTAGCATAATTTTTTTTCAATTTATTAACGAGTGTCTAATAAAAAAATTGATAGTTTTTATTCTCAATTGGCCTACATTTTGCCATCTAACGACAATAGTTTCAACTATATAATTTACTTGTGGCGCCATCTTGTAGTTAGATTAAAATTGAGGATTTTTAATTTTTGTTGTCATTTCAGTCACAATCCTAACCTTCAAGCATTTTACACACGAGCTTATAATTCTACGTAATAAGTAATTAAAATTAAAATGTAAAAGAAGGCAAACGTACATTAATTATCAAGGTTGATGTACCTTCCAAGTTTTTTGATAAATTCTTTGTAAAAAAGTTTATTTATGGTTTCGGAGGGTAGGTGCGCTTCGCGCGAGAAAATTTGAATTTTTTGCAAATGGCGTCTATCCTACATGTTCTTAGAAAAAATGCGGGTGGACATAACACACCAAATAAACCCCTAATTTACACTGACACTAAGTATACACCGAGTTTACACTAAGTTTACACGGTGTATATGGATCCGTTAGGGAAAAAATACAAAAGAATAAATAATAAATTTGGCTGCGTTACGATTTCCAACTTCACGTTTTACTTTTGTTTGTTTACTTTTTTTAAATAATTCTAATTTTTAAGAGTTTAAACAAATGTAACCTTTAAAGTAAAATTAAATACTCAATTTAAAACTTAATTTTAAAATTTAAGGAAGCTATTGAATTAATGAATGAATAGGTAATCAAAGATAAAAATTAATTTCTTGTAGACAATTAAGAGAATGAATCCCATGTTACTTATAAGGTTAAAGACGATGACGTTAATCAAGAAAATAAAAAGGGCAATACAGGCTATCTATCGGGATACTTATAAAGACTCTTATTAAGAAAATTAAAAAGACAACACCTAGGCTGCTCATCAGGATAATTTTAAGGACTTTTAACAGGAAAACTAAGACAATGAAATCCAGACTGTTTATCAGGATATTTTTAAGAAAAATTATAAGTATAAAATCGACGCTTTTTATCAGGACAATTATAAGAACTCTTATCAGGAAAATTGTAAGGCCGAAATCCAGGCTACTTATCAGAATAATTTGAAGGACTTTCATCAGGCCGAAGACGTAGATGACTGCCAGAGGCTGCTTATCAGGATAATTTTAAGGACTCAGCAGAAAAACAAATGGGAGACGGTCCAGGCTATTAAAGGGTATGATAATAAGGACTTTTATCAGGTGGAGTACAAGGACAAATTTCATGGTGCTTGTCAGAATAATAATAAGGACTCTTATCAGATGGATTACGAGAACAATTTCCAGGCATCCTGTAAGGATAACTAATATTACATTATAATGACTACATTATTATCTATAGTAAAAATTTTATTAACATATGAAATTTATAACGTCAGTGAACAAATCTATTATAGAAATTGTTCAAAATGTCCTCCATTATTTTGGATACAACAACGAAGACGCTTGACAAAGTTCGTTGCGCAGTTATCGACCATCTCCTGTGTGATCTCTCTCAGATAATCCGTGACTTTGTCTCGCAGAGTATCAACGTCGTCAACGGGATGACGGTAAACATTGGCCTTCACATGGCCCCATACAAAATAATCCAACGGATTGAGATCTGGTGATCTTGGAGGCCAATTTATTATTCCACCTCGACCGATATAGCGATTGGCAAAATTTGCATGAAGCCATGCTTGCGAAGCTCCTGCTGTATGAGCCGGAGCGCTGTCTTGTTGAAACCACATTTCTTTATAAATTCTCCGCGGAATTCCTGCTTCTCGACATTCTTGCCGTAAATGTTGATCGAGAAAATCTACATATATTTCTGATGTTAAATTTCCTTCGAATTCATAAGGACCAACCTATAATAAATTTTGTTGTGAGAACTTTATAAATCAAAAATTAGTTGAAGACAATTACTATAATAAATTTAATTTACAATTGTGCGTTGGCCAAAGTGGATTCCTGCCCAGATGTTAATCGAAAACCGGTCTTGGTGATTCCAAACAATAGTGCAGTGGGGATTTTCTTGAGCATACCAGTGGAAATTTCGGGTATTCCAAAACTTATTTTGGCCAAACTTACTTTCATCAGTAAACAGAATTTTTTTAAAAAAATCTTCATCGTTTTCGAAACGATCCAAGAGTTCCTGACAAAAAGCCATACGAACTGGAAAATCCTCGGGCTTCAACTCTTGAACTCGTTGATAATGATACGCGTGAAGCTTTTCATCTTTCAGTGTTCGTTGGACGGTGCCAAAAGACAAATTCAGTTGCTGAGCAACTCCACGAATACCGATCTCTGAATCTTCCTCAACGGCCTCAATGATGGCCTCTTCGTTCTCATTATTTCGTGCACGACGTGGTGCACCAGCTTCTCGGTGATTTGGTAAAACATTACCAGACTCACGTAATCGGCTGACTGCACCAAGGATCACTGGAGAACTTGGATGCCGCCGATTCGGGAATCTCTCTGCATACCTGCGCCGTGCTTCAGCAGCATTACAATTGGCCATACTATACAGGAGGATCATATCAGCATACTCTTGAGCATTATATTCAGCCATAATACAGATATTGTTTGAGAAAAATCAATTTATGAATATTTAAATTCTTAAGTAAAATATTAAATGTAATGACAGATACACACCGAATTAATTGACTGACATAAATAAAAGATAAGCGATCGCAACGCGAACATAGTAATAAGCGTGCTCTTTTGTTCTGAATGAACGAATAAAAAATAGAAGACTAAAATGTAGGATACAAAGAAGATCATACAGAAGGACCATAAGAAGAATGATTAAAAGGACAAAATGTAGAGATTTTGAACGCATAGACGACTTAAAACACTCGAAAAAATCAATTGATGATCAAATCTAGATTGTTAAAAAAAGAAAAACGTTTTAAGAGTTAAATTGGAGGATAACATGAAGGCAACAAAATTGAAAGCTTAGCAGGATAATATTCAGGATAAATTTGAACGACTAAACTGAAGGACAATCCGGAAGATGATTTTACTGGATAAAGTTTAGGTTAAACGGCAGGAATTAAAAAAAAATTTTAGGCTAGGTTTGGGAAGAATTGGTAAGATAATTAAAGGACAAAGTCAAGAAAAAGAAGCAGGATCCAGGTCAACCTGCAAGAGTAAAAATCATGTTAACAAGCTTAGATTAAAAGACAATTGGCCGAATATTCAAAAAAACACAATGTGGAGGCTAGCAAGATCGAATTCAAAAATTCTTAGAGGTTAATGATAAGGGTATTGCTGGTAATCTCGCTCACGGTCTTGCTCATGATCTCGCTCGTAGTCTCACTCATGATCTCGCTCATGATTTCGCTCGTGGTCTCGCTCGTAGTCTCGCTCATGGTCTCGCTTATAGTCTCGCTCATGGTCTCGCTCATGATCCCGCTCATGGTCTCGCTCATGATCCCACTCCTGGTCTCGCTCATAGTCTCGCTCATGATCTCGTTCGTGGTCTCGCTAATGATCTCGCTCGTGCTCTCGCTAATGATCTCGCTCGTGGTCTCGCTCATGATCTCGCTCGTGGTCTTGCTCATGATCTCGCTCGTGGTCTCGCTCATGATCTCGCTCGTGGTCTCGCTCATGATCTCGCTCATTGTCTCGCTCGTGGTCCCGCTCGTGGTCTCGCTCATGGTCTCGCTTATAGTCTCGCTCATAATCTTGCTTATAGTCTCGCTCATAATCTTGCTTATAGTCTCGCTCATAATCTCGCTCATGATCTTGCTCATGATCTCGCTCGTGGTCTCGCTCATGATCGCGCTCGTAGTCTTGCTTATCGTCTTGCTTGTTGACTTGCTTGTCATCTCCCTAATACGTATCCAACCTATCTTTTTATCTATGTATCTATTTATCTATAATATTTCTGAAATTATTTAAAACTTGAAAGAACTCTACTCAATTATATGGAATTTTATAAAGTTGGAAGTTTCGGATCTCAGCCCTAAAAATAATGTTAATTTTACAATTTCATCTTGCATAGTGATCTAGATATTGTTCTTAAAATAGGCATTTTTTTCTACAATTTTTTTATTTTTCTGATATTTATCGTAAGCTACTCTCTTAAAACGAATGAGTGGAATTTTACAGTGAAATTAGTAAATTCCAGTTTCCTGATAAGAGTCTTTTTTATTATCCTGAGAAGTAACCTGGAAGTTGTCCTGTTTGTTTTCCTGATAAGACTCATTACTACCCCGATAAATAACCTGGTCTTCATCCTGTTAGTTTTCCTGATAAGGTCCTTACTATTATCCTGTAGCCTCGATAAGCAGCCTGGGAATTTGTCCTTGTTTGTACTTTACCTAATAAAAGTCCTTATTTTTATCTTGATAAGAAGCCTAGAATTTGTCCTTATACTTCGTCTGATATGAGTCCTTTTTATTATTTTGACAAATGGCTTAGAATCTTTCATCTTTATAATTTACAAAACATTTATTTTTATCTTTGATTACCTATCCATTCATTAATTCAATAGCTTCCTTAAATTTTAAAATTAAGTTTAAAATTAAGTATTTAATTTTATTTTAAAGGTTACATTTGTTTAAACTCTTAAAAATTAGAATTATTTAAAAAAAGTAAACAAACAAAAGTAAAACGTGAAGTTGGAAATCACAACGCAGCCAAATTTATTATTTATTCTTTTGTATTTTTTTTTAAATGTTAAATCTCGCATCTGATTGGTCAACGAAAATTTTGAATAACTCAAAAACTACTCAAAATTTTCAGTAATGACTAAGAAGTTTTCTGCTCAGAATCGTTTCCTCTATTCGAATATCTTCGCTGTAAAAGTAATTTTGGATCACCCTGTATAGACGCAACATATAAAGTATGTCCCAAAAAGCCTAAATTTTATCAGCTTTTTACCATTATGGCCAAAGTAAATAATGTAGTAAGTATATTAAATAAACTATTTCTTACTGTATTAAGGTATATCATACACTTGCATGTTTTTAATGAATTTAACTATTTACCTTCAGGCGATTCCTATCACTTGGGCATTAATGGATAAAAAGACCACCTTAGCCTACGTCGCTGTACTAGAACACTTTAAATCAACTTTAGCGCAACATCTTCAGCCCAAGAAGTTCACAGTGGACTATGAATCTGGCTTGGCTTCAGCGGACTTATTGGTCTATCCTGATGCTTTAATTTGTCGGTGTTATTTTCATTACCTGCAGGTAGGAGTCTATTCGAATATTTTATAATATATATTTCAAACTCGTTGATTAACTCAATAAAAATTTGTATTCAGGCTTTGGTAAGAAGACTAAAATCGTATGGGAAAAATTTCATGACACAGCTTGAAAATTGGGAAGAAGCTCAAATTTTTGTTCGGAAAATTGCTGGTTTGCCGTTTTTACCTGCTCATTGTATTTCAGAAGCTTTTGAATGGTTAATTACCCAGATAACATCCAAGTCAGAAGGATTTCTTAAAGATGTCTTTTCAAAGACTTCCTCGAGAACTCCAAATATGACATCTTAAAGACCTCATTTTTCGGAACTCTTAATTAAGAAGTCTTTAAGAAGTTTTTTTTTAAGTTCTATAAGACATCACAGATATGAGCTCTTTGAGAAGTCTTTTTTCCGACTTCGTAAGAGGTCAAAAAAATGAGCTGTTTAAGAGGTATTTTTTTGGACTTTCCAAAACATCAGAGATATGAGCTCTTTAAGAGTTCTTTTTTTCTGACTTCGTAGGACATCAAGAATAGGAGCTCTTGAATAGGTTTTTTTTTTCTGATTTTGTACTTCGTCAAAATATGGGACTTAGAAAAATTTTTTTCACGTTATTAAAGAATTTTTAAAATGATAAAAAAATAAAAATAATCACATTCGAGTGAACTCATTTCGCTGTATATTTATTTTTGTATTATAAAAATATGATCGTAAATAGCAAAACGTTCAGTGATTCTACTTATTAAAAATTAAATCGAAAAGTATTTTTTTTTATTTTTGGGTAGAAAAGTTGATATCAAGTTTTTTATCATTACTATAAGTCGTTTATAATCTTATGTAAACATAAGAGCTTATGCAGAGAAAAAAAATTTACTATCTCATTAGGAGCAGCTAGCCAAGGCAGACCAAAGGACACCACATCACTGAAGTTAAGACGCATTGGTCATGATAAATACTTGGATGGGTGACCGCTAGTAAATTCATATTCTAAACTGCGAGCGACACCATTTTTTTTTTATTTCGAAGAAAATATATTTTAATGTACTTGACTGTCTTCAATTTAAGCTCTTTTTTAATATTAATTACAATACAATTAAAACTGAAAATGTCTCCTCTATAAACTATTTTATTCTGGAGTCAGAAAGGGCTCTTAATTCTGACTTCTTGAAGAACTCTTTTTTTGAAGTCAGAAAAAAGAGCTCTTTAAGAACTCTCTCTATGAAGTCCTGATTCACTCTTTAGGTGGCGCATTGGACGTCCTCAAAACGTCTTGGAGACCTCATCTTGATCAAAATTCTGACGTCTAAATCTTAAATAAGAGTCCTTTGAGAACTGTAAAAGACGTCATATTGCTATCTGGGAAAAATCACTTGATTTTTGTAAAGCGAGAATAGAGCACTATCCGCTTCGCTTATGAGGTGTGAAATTTCATTAGATACACGGAGAGAGTAGGTAATTTTTGACCTATACCGATGGTTAGATATACAAATTAAAACTCATTTATTAAGCTTGTAGATGCAATCCACAAACAATTTACAAGTTATCGCATTCAATAATTATTTTGCAAAGAAACAGTGAAAGTACCAATTTTTTAATATTTTAAAGATTTCAAATTGCTGACCTATACTATTTAATAAACAAAAAAAAATAAATAAGTATGCAAATTAAAGCCTATTTCATAAGCTTTCTGATGCGATTCACAGAAATTTAATAGGATATTGCGTTCAATTGTTATCGCTCGGAAAAACAGTAGAAGTGAAAATTTTTGGAATTTTTGAAAATTTTTAAATTGCTGTAATTTTATAACTAAATGACCGATTTTGCTCATCTTCGAAATTAACCTCAGAAATCGTCCTAAGAATGAGTATGTTACGTTTTATTGAGATCCGTACAGAATTGCGGGAGTTCTCTAACAGACAAAAGGCTGGTTATATCGTCCATGTATAAACTTTTGAATCATATGCATTTTCTGGATCCGCTTGACGAGCTGAGTCGAAGTATAGCAAAATTTTTCAAAAGTTCCGTCATGAGGACCAATGCAATAGTTAGATTTCTATGAAATCTACTGAAAAATTATACATCATATAAATAAAACAGAAATAAATTACAATAAAATAATAATGCGCATTTTAATTATCAAAAATACAAAACACATGGAGCAAAGGGATTAAGGTAATAATACATTGATATAGTCGAAAGTAAAATATTATATGTGAGAAATAAATTAAAAAATTAAACTTTCATAAAATTAATTAGAAATATAATTGTTGTCATAAAATAATAATAAAATGTAAAATTAAAATTTTAAATATGTATTACTGAGTCTGATGATGTTCGATCAGGGTATAGAATTAAATATTACAAATAAATATTAATAAAACACAGATAAAAAAAGACTGGACTGTCATTATTTAAAAAAAGATAATGATAATGTAATAAACTTTTTTTCTCTGAAAAAATAACAATCGATATAAAGTGACACAACAATATTTTTCAGAGGTTTATTCTTTTCGATTTCATGCTGTAAGTTTATTATTTTCCTTGAGCACTCAATTAAAAGATTTATAATTAGGATGAAACTTTAGAATGGTTTTAACGCGGAAGAACTCTCTAGAAAGCTTATTTTTTTTTTTTCTATTTTTTTGTAGTTTGTAAGACTTCAAAAAATTAAAAGACCAAAACAATGCTCCGTATAATTATAAGGGATCTTTAAAAAGTTAATTATAAAATTCGAGGGAAAATATTAACTGTAGTAAAGAATTTCTTTCAACGTATCCTCTTGAGTTTATTTTAGAGTAAAATTATTTTTAAGTTTTTAATTTGTATTAAATAAATAATGTAAAGTACCCAGTAGTTGAGCAGGTTTCAAAGTAAAACGTATTTGACCCCACTTTTAATATATAAAGATATAATTATTAGTTTAAATTAGTGATTTTTATGAAAATATAAACAATTTTAAATTGATTGAAGCGCAAAATAACGCAGATAATTGAATATTTATTCTCACAACATTTTTAAGATATACTATGAAAGGAGCAGTAGTTGAGCTAATAAAATATATTGCAGTAGGCACAGCAAAAATTTTAAGGGCCAGTTTTTCAATCCGGGATAAAATTTTATCCGAGATAAAAGTACTGTCAATGGCTGCGTTCAAGTTTACTAAGTTCTTGGCAGATCTTAGCATATCTTGTAGCAACAACTTAAAGTAACTATATTATTTTTTTTGCACGCCTCATAAGCGAAGCGTTGAGGTTGTGCTCTACTCTCGACATTTCAAAAAAAGTAGTTTTCTCGAAACTAAAATTGATTTTTTGTTATTTATATCGCACTTATAGGTTAATATGAGTACACTTATATCAAGTCGAATAATTTGTCAGGCACATAAAATATATTTCAATAACAATTTTTTTGTTTAACATAGTAAATAATAACATTTAACATAATTTTTTCTGGACGTCCGTGTATGGATGAGTGTATGTGGCAGGGAAATTGGTCGAAAAAATGATCGTACCGGAACAATTTTTTTTTTATTATCTAAAGTAACACACGAAGGATTTTCCTAATTAATATGAGCGTTCAATTCACTGTCGTTAAATTATTATTTATAAAAAACTAATATATAACTGTGGATTTTTTTGTATATCTATCTATACATTTCATTATAGTATTTTTTTTCCTCACCTTAGAGTTATGGCGCCACTAAACCATAGCAGAGTTTTGTTTTTTATTATTTTGCTTTTTATCTTTTATTTTAATCAATTT